TTATCTTGTGAATTTTGTTGCTTCCTGTCATTTGCCTTAAAAAGAAGAAACATACAAACATTCAAACTGTTTCGTATCACTGTTAATGTCCAACTGATGTGTCCTAACATACATATTACTCTAACCATCCTAGAAAAGATATAATTCTAAAATAGTACTACGTCATATATAATCTTCAAATTTAACTGAATTGATATAATACATACTAATATCTATCATACTAAATAAGTACCATTAGACTCGTCGCGAAATATATCTTCATAGTAAAGCTATTGGGGGCCATACATGTTGCTATTTCCTATAAATTTAGGTAAACTTAAAATAAATTAACTTTAACCAGACTTCGAATTGTATCTTTTCTGGACAACGGTGGTCCAAGACTAGTAGGCATTAGGGTAGTACATTGCCTGCAGAAAAAAGTTGGTATCCAAGAACATCATCTCCTTAGTACCAGTTAACTTGGCTGCCGTGTCCTTTCTCTGAGAGGAATTACCAGAGGAGTCCAAGGCAGGAAGAAGGGTGTGCAAGGTAAATTTCATGTTGCGCCGGTACACAGTACGCACGGGAGGGGGAGGTCGGGGAGGCTAGGATCGGATCCACAATTTGCGAGTCAGTCAGTCAGCATTCAGCAGTCCGTGAGGCTATCTCCAACAACACCACGCAAAATATAAGACATATTCGTCTTTTAGATAGCGCTATAGGTAAAAAGTTCAATACTTATTTGACATTTTCTCCAACAACCAGACAAAAAAAATCCTTTCTGCAAATAGGTTTCCAGAAGAGATAATGCCCATATTTGGATTGTGTCTCCCAAACAATTTAAAATAGGTCTTCTGTATAGTTGGAAGGTGATTTTAAATTTAAGTTCGATCTCTAGTTCGTTGTTGGAGACAGTGACCGGACAGGCTCTCAGCAGCAGTCAGCACAGCAGCAGTGAGCACGCGGGCCGTACCTGGGCCCCACGTGCCGCCGAGCCCGGGGCAGGGGGGGCGCAGTGGACGGTGGCTTTTTGGGCACAAGTGGGGGGACCTCGATGGCCGCCCAGTAGGCCGGGCCCGCTTTACAGCTGGCCTCGTTCCTCGCGGGGGGACACTCTGTCCACTCACGTGGGACAGCCCCTCACACCTCAGTGGGTGTGCGTCGAGCCAATTATTTTCAGAATTATTGCGCCCAAACGGCACTGTCCCCACCCGCAGCCTCTGCGGATGCATGCATGGATACAATACAACGGCGGGAAGATGCTACGTACTTCTGTTACGTTACGTTACGTGTGACGGAACGCGCAGCCCCAAACACGTCATACCTGAACCGTTTAGCAAGAAAACTAAGGCCTTGTTCGGTTACGGGGGATTCATTCCCAGCCGAGCAGCATCTTCGTAAATTGGTATACCGGATTCGTTCCAGGCACGGAACGGCCGATTCCGTAACAACCGAACAGCGCCGAAACATGGGCGGACGTGTGCTTCCATTGCATATAACGTATTCGGGGCTTAATGCATTGTTCATTCGACTCAAATCACGGAATTAGTGTTCATAATAATGCAGGTGAAATCGGCCAGCACTCGAGGACAACACACGTTCGGGGATCGCGTGGACCAGACGGTGACGGGTTCTCTAGGCCCCGGTGTCGTCTATCCACTGCATCTTGGCTGCTTGCTGAGGATGGGGTTTGGATAAGTTGCAGCCTCGGCCGGGTTTAGCCAATGGATAACAAACAAACACAGTACGTATTAGTAGTCATGCCAGCGACGGGAAGGACAGGAAGGAGGTTTTTACCTGCACAAATTAATCTTGTCCTTGCAGGTGGGAATTCTGTTGAGCGTGGATTGAGCGGAGCACGTTTAGATGCTCCCTGTGCTTCAACGTATCTGCGCAAGCCACCTGCACAAATAAACGAAGAAGACGACAAACGGGCAGTCAGTAACTTGGGTACAATTATAAAATGTGCTACAACTACGTGAGTGAAAAATTTGCAGTTTCTTGTTGAGCAAAAGCTGTGAAAGTAACGGTTGTAGCAGAATTCAACGCTCTACCAATAGAAAATGGTGATGATTTTCTTTGGGGCAACATTTTCTTTCAAAGGAAAGGCAAGCGAAGCCCTTTTACAACGTCACTGGCACCGCCCAAACGTCGCCCTACAAGAAGAGATTGAAAATTGGGGAGTGGAAACCAAACTGCTGCGCAGTTCGGCACCAGTCGACGACCTTTTAGCTTTTGCACACCAGTCGGCTTCATTGCCGCCATTCTTTTCCCTATTTCCAGTGTGGAAGGTGTGAAGCGACATGGGAATGTAATCCCTTATACTCACAAAAAAAGAATGCAAATATCATTTGCCGAGAAATCAAATAAACCCATGTTTAATTAGGATGACACAAAATCAGAAGTTAAAAACACAACCAAAACGTGGAATGACCGTGCTTTCAGAATCGTGGTGCAGATTTTGATTCATCGAAAGAAATGGCACAGATTTCTAAGGATCAACACTGATGTCTAAAATTGCGTCAAAAAAAAAACACTGATGTCTAAAATGAACAGACAAGAAGACCGGGTGTGCTTGCCCTACATGTCTACACAACTACAGGTCTACAGCACATCGAGCACATTAATTTAGGCATAATTAGGGAGCAAGAGGCTGGCCCCTAACATGCAAAATTACTTTGGCACCCTCGTTCCAAGGTCAGTCAAACAGTCAACGGACACAAACTGGGGAAATAAATCTAGGATACAGATACATACGTCAGACGATACTGGACCAGCAGGCTTGATTCCTCCCTTATTCAGAGAGGAAATACTCGACCAGAATGTAATAAAAGATTCCCTTTGTGATGAAGTAGGTAGCCAAATGATAAGAGCCAGAACAGCAGAATTGGCGGGAGAGAGGAACAGCAGAATTGGCGGAGCAGACGGAAAGAAAACAGTACTCAGAAATTCTTCATGACAAATACTACACTTCTATATTAACACCAATCGCTACAGTTCAATCATTCTAGGGATGATAACTTGGGTAAGGTAATCACCACCTATAAGAGAAATGATCGGGACCATATTTCTGGAGAAAATCACAAGACAGCCGCAATGCACGTTCGGTGAAACGAAGCATTCACGGGAATTCTGGACGAATTCAGTGCACTTTGTCCAAAATGGAAGCTAATGGACTTGAACCGCATTCACACCTCCGTCTGCTAAATTAGCAACCATAGCCCCCACACAGTGATACTATCTATCGTCTGTGAACTTTCAACAGATTAGACTAGGACATTCCATCCTTCTTGATCTATGATTTTCTCTAATCACACTAACAAAACTAAAATTATTGTAACTTAACTTCTTTGTCCCCAATATGTTAATAATAAAAATATCGCAAATAATTTTATGCGTAATCACCCATTAGTAATATAAATCAAATGAATTTTCTGTGACATATACCTTAGCATAAGGTTCTTTTTGTATATTCCCCTATATTCGTCAGGAAAGAAAGGGACACCTATTAGTCGGCAGCAAGACATTGCATGGATAGGTACATACACACAGCCACGCGGGGCGTCAAAGGTTGCATTGTTGCTGTTTGAGGGATGATCGAGCTATGGAGGCTGTTGTTATCAGAGATGGCTTATAAACCACGAGAGATCTAGAGTTAGGAGCTAGGAGGCAGAAGCTTTGGCGCTGAGTCCTTGTCGAGCGACGGAGCAGATCCCAAATTCCCAATCACACCAAATGGGCAGGCATCTCCAGCCGTCCATCTCCAGATCAGACCTGATGGCACATCATGTATTCCCTTCAGTTTGCCAGTGCTAGGCAACCCATATCATCAAATATCTTCACTCGTGGAGAATGCCTTTGTGCATGCTTGATGATGTACTATGCAAAAGTCTCCGGCCTCCACCACAGCTTGTTGCGCTCTCACTCAAGTGGACTAGGATCACAAGTGCTCACAATAACATCAGAGTATTGCTCTAGACTGTACTGTTTTTATTCACTGTTTTTTAGGGCTGTAATAAGTGGCTTCAAAACACTCAAAGTTTCACAGATGGGTCATGGTATTTTTCTAGGTTATTGCAGCTGATTGGAAACATGGGAATATGGGTGAAATTTAATCAACTAATCGTCAAACTTTTTGCACAGTAAGTACAGATAGACTATTAACCACCTAGAGATATGGTTTACTAACAGTATATAGTGTCCTAAAATATACCGGAACCCAAGCTTCTCAACCAACTTCCAAGAAAGTCAAGTCTAAAAAATATCTACACTGTTAAGTTTAAATTAATAACGAAGTACATACCCAAGGTGATGTTGCTATAACTGACTTCACAAATGTCCAATTACCAAATAACTCATGCACAGAACCACTTGTGCATTTGTTATGTGCTCCTACAAGTCTACAACAGCAATAAAAATAAGAACCATGTTAATAAGTAAGAATTCTTTAAATATTTTTCCTCATGTTATAAAGCCATAGAACTGAACAATTAGCAAAGCTCCAATAACAATCAAAATCCAAATGCCAAAAGAATAGCACATGTTAAGATCCAGATAAGTTCGGAAAGAATCCACCTAAGCTCCCTAATCCCGTTGGAATAATCCCCATCATCCGTTCCGTTTCTCTGCCACTGTCCAGACAAGGACAGCCCAACGCCACCCTGTAACTACTGTTCACTCTGATAGGGGCAGTACAGTCATATTTACCTACTATTGGCGGGGGTGGGTGCCTCCCGGTGCATGGTATTTTTATATGAGCGTGCTTTGGACCAAAAGGACCTGGCTGGTGCATTATAGCAAACACTAGTATATATTGCTGTTTCTGTACCCTACCCGCTCTCTCTCTCTCCCTCTACCCCTTTTCCTCTAACCTTTAGCTTTCCTTCCTCCCTCCCTCCCTCTCCTCTCATCTCCTCTTCCCCTCCTCTAACAAGAACTAGTCCCAGCCATTCAGATCCTAAGTTGCTGACCTTGCTGCTGCTTGTTGGAGATAGATTTGTTGGTTCTAAGTTGAAAGTACCATGAGTCCACCGAGTGTGATGGGGCAGTTTGGGGACACAACCTACACCAAGGTTTTTGTTGGTGGACTCGCGTGGGAAACCCAGAAGGAGACCATGAGGAAGTACTTCGAGCAGTTTGGGGAGATCCTGGAGGCTGTTGTCATCACTGACAAGAACACTGGCAGATCCAAGGGCTACGGATTTGTATGGTTTTACCCAATTCATCTCCTTTATATGCATTTAATTTCAGTAGACTTTATAAACATTTCGGTTCCCTGTTCATGTGTCACTTTTCTTTCTTTTCTGATGCAATATATAGTGTTTTCTTAATTTCAGTTAATCATGCACCCCGAATTCACATTGTAGGTTACCTTCCGGGACCCAGATGCGGCGATGAGAGCTTGCGTTGATCCCGCACCGGTGATTGACAGGAGGAGGGCTAACTGTAATCTTGCTTCCCTTGGGGTTCAAAGATCTAGGCCTCCTACTCCCCAGCATGGTTAGATATTTATCATTATTTCAGAGTAGTACAAGGCAGTATAGAAGAAACAATTAGCTTGCTTGCTTAATTGAAAGTGATTTATGAGAAATTATCGTGAGTTGAATAGAGCATATCACCTATAAGCTTTTAAAAAAGAACAATCATAATAGTTATTATAGATGCACTACCTCTTGGATAAATTAAAAAAAGGCGTACCCAGTGCAGAGAGCTCCCGCTCTGTGCGGGGTCTGGGGAAGAGTGTTAGTGGCAAGTCTTACCCTCGTCTGTCCAATGTGAGGAGACCACGACTTGAACCCGGGACCTTCCGGTCACAGGCGGTAAGACCCTACCGCTTGCACCAGGCCCTGCCTCTTGGATATTGCTAGAAATTTTATATGCACTTCCACGCATGACCACAAACTAACGACCATGATTTTATGCACTAAAGGTTCCTTCATGCCATTAGAATCAGCAAAGAGGTTAAAGAGATGGCAACAGATTGCCTAATTTTGATAAATGGCCAGCCTTAAGTGCTCAATGAGGGTATTGTGTAGGCATCCAGTAGAGAATAAAATGCTTAAATGTCTACCTTTAACATGGTGCTACTTTAGTGTCCTAAAAACAGTGGTTTCTCTCTAAAACAGTTCATGTTAATTGGAATTGCTTTCAGTTAGAACAATAAATATATGTAGACTTGGAAGGATATATGCTGTTGGCATTACTTGTTGGAAAAGGTAGAACTGAAGGAACATCAATAGTACAAAGATGTTAGTTATCCTCGAGCTAATTGACTTGTTTCAGATAATGTAGTATACTATTCCTAGGAGTGGATTATAAAACCTTCCAATGAAAACATAATCATATATTAATAAGGGGTAGCAACCAGAATCTTTTACTTCTATTACGTCGTCTTGCTTGCAACTGATAGACTGAAGACAGAAAGATGCAACTGCCTGTTTTTTTAATTAGTGCCTTCTCATGATAATATTAGCAAGCAATGTGGGTAAATTTGCTTCTGTTTTGCTGATGATGTTGCTACAGGAGGGGCTAGGAACTTTAGAGTGATGAAATCCTTCAGCCAGCAGGCAGGATTCCAAGGTGGACTGGGCGCAGCTTTTCCTTCTCATGCCACCTTCCCTCATTATGCCATCCCACAAGGCCTCCCCTACCATGTCTATGGGTACCTCTCTCTCTCTCTCTCTCCACACACACACATGTGGTCAGGATCGGGGCCGTGTGAAACTTGAAAGTCATGAGGGGTGGGGCCGTGGGGGCATCACATGCATGACATGTGCATTGTGACATGCCACCTTGGTCAATGGTGAATGGGCATGAGGCTTTTATCTTGCACGCGCCTACTCTCTCACAGACATATCCTCAGTCCCTCACACGAGTAGCCATGCGTGCTAGTGGCACATGACGGCAGCACTGTCATATGCTCACTCCCGTGAACAGTAAGCATAGATGAGATAGCAACGACCTCTCTCTCTCTTAGAAATCAAGTAGCTCGCTCTAGCACATTAGAACGGAACAAAATTTCATAATTAATTTGTAAGGAAAAAACTAATATCCCCTTCTATCCTTCACTCTGCAGGTACTCTCCATATACCCCAGACTACGGTTATCCAACAGTAAGTACCTAATTATATTGCTAATAAGCTCTATTTACTTCACCAACAGCACAACAAAATGGTTGCTTTTATTTATTTCACCATGAATTAATTAGTGCAGTAGCATGCATGTCATCAAAAGTATTTTTGCATTATGCATCATCAAAATTATGATATGATAAACAATGCACAGAAAATTGCAGTGTGTAATTTTTCTGGCTAAAATATACGATTATATAACACTATGTTCAACAGAAGGAAAATAAATGCATATGGCACACAATAAGAAAATAATGTAAGAATTACCCATCTTTTTTTTCCTGATGAAGCCAGAATTACCGATCATTTTAGCTTCAGCAAACTCAGACCAAAACTTGAGGGTTGGCATTCAGCTCTTGTGCGCTTAATGTACGATTCCTTTATGCTGGAAACAAGTTCTAAAAAGACTGACAGTTAGCATGCACCTTTTCTTAAAACAGAACTGCAGTAGTATGTGCCCATCAAAGAAAAACATCAAATGACGAAATATTCAGCCAAAAGCCGTTGTATTTGTGCCACTTTTTGAATGAACAAGAGAAAAAAAAGTTTTGGTCACTTTTTAGCATCAAGAAATATAACGTGAAGATGCAAAGAATACAACGGCATCATCTGAAAAATATAAAGCAAGATCATCTGCCACATGACTTCATATAAAAACTAAAGGCACATATATTAGAGTACTGCTCCTAAAAAGATTCACCTTCTACTTAAAAAAAAAGATTCACCTTCTGCCTACCTTTCCTGCATAATGACAATAATATGAGCTAAATCATCTATACTATCCTTTCAAAATCATTTCCTTTCTTCAAGTTTGAGAGGAAAGAGGTAACTATCATGTAGAGTCGAATATCTGCTCGTGGATAGCCAATTGCTTTCCGGTCTTCCTCAAAACAATTTATTCTAGATGATGAAGGGCCCAGTCTCTAGTCTCTACTATTGTCATGTCCACTGAAAAGCATGTACTCTCTATATTAAGCAATGACATGAGGAATACATAGAGATTTCTGGTCCTAGCAACTTTTATCTTACCCAGCCACACATGGTACGGGGCCTTAGTCTGTGAATCTCTAGTCAGTAGACACGTTGTTAACCAAATGAGCTATAAAAACAAAAGGCAGACCCCAACCTGGACTCCTGGAGTACTGTAACAAAGCATATATATATCTTTTAAAGGTGCTTGGGTTCACACAGCGACTACAGTACCAAGTAGGGGGGGAAACTTGATCAAGGGGAGAGACGTATCTTTAACTTTAGTCTTAAGAAGGGGGGCCCCACAACTTGGGAAACAGGCAGGAACCTCACTCGCACACGAAACCATCTGCGCTGTGTCAACCAGGGAGGTGGGCACATAACCATGCAGCACCAGGGATCGAACCCTGGTCAGGAGCTCCACACCTTGCGTGCTCAACCACTGTGCTATCAGCGTCTGAACCGTACCAAGTACTAGATAATACTAAGCTTTCTAAAATATCAGATACTTACAAATGGAAAGAGTGGTAGATAACAGATTTTTTTTATCATGAGCATAATATAAAATATATAAATACTTAAATTGGATTCTCTTGTCTGTTAAATAGAACTTCTACAATATATATGGAGGAGCTCATTACCCATTTTATGGAGGAGCAGCAGCTGGCATGGTGACAGGAACAAGTCCCTTTTATCCATATTTCCAGTTTGGGCAATCAGGAAACACTACTACCAACTATACAAGTGGACAAGGCTACAACTTGCAATACCCACAAATGTTCCACTTCTCAACTGTATCTTCTACAGCTGCTGCAGCTGTGACCGGCTTTGCTCAGCAGTATGGAGGACCATTGTCACTAGCAGCAAGCCCTCAAGCCCAAGCAGGTATTTCTAGCTTCATTCTTCTTGATATCTAATTAGAAACATTATAAAAGGGATTCAAAAGTCATCTAATTGTGCATTTGTCATCCTAGCTTAATGTAGCACTTGATGCAAATTATAAACTCACATATTGTTCTAGTAACCTACCAGCATTCATTTGTCAATCTGTCAAGTTACAATGCAAGAATGTAAAGTATTGTGCATGCAATTGAAAACAGTAGAAAGTGTGATAAAAATATGCTGCAATGTTTCGATAAGAAACTCAGTTCCCATGTTCTCAGAATTATTTGAATAATTTCTTTCTGCTAAGTTGTGATACTAATATCTTGACAGTGTGTATCCCCATTAAACAGGCATGACTATGGCACTCACAGCTCCAACCCTGCCAACTCCAACACAGGCTGCTCATCCTTACCGGTTGATTCCTTCGCACTTTGCAGTGTCCACTGCTCCAGAGCAACCCTTGGCCTAACCATAGTCTCCCTTCTCATCGTTGCTGTACTGTCTCGTTTCCAACATGTCGAGTCCATGCATCCATCTCTAACATCAAAAGGCACTATTGTAGATCATGTTTATCAGCCAAAGTGCTCGCCTCCATATCCCACAAGGTCATGTGGTGACTGGATATTAGCTTTAGCCCCAGGATGGGCACAAAGCTTCATGCCCCAAGGATGGGGTGTTCTAACAGACAAGTACAAACCCCAACCATTCTAACAATAGTCCAAGGAAGGACTTTATCTGGGAGAGTTAATTTCAGCCGTACCAAGACAAGGCTGTAGCTAAAGGAAACTAACAGTCAAGCATTACCCAGGGAGGGTTCATGCTGATACTAGTCAAATTGGACAACTGACAGCTAAATAACTGATTGAACTAGCATGCCACTCCCACATTTCATCAGTAGAATCCCAACTGTACCTAGCTTAGGCATGGCATTTCTTGTTGAAGCATGAACCATTAGCAAAACCTACCCTTCTATAGTCCTGCTGTTACCTAGACCAAATGCATTTGATATATGACCAGCGACTACCTGTGTAACCAACTCATCTTTTCTTTGCAAATGATTAGATGCACCAACTAACATTTTATTTGATCTTTCAGTTGATCTTGCATCTAGGTGGTCAAGGCTCTAAGGAGAGCCTGTGCCCCTAATCAGACACAGGTTCAGAGTAGTGCTAATGTTTGTTTTTAGCACTTGGCACTACCTCCTGTCACTCCAAACACAGTATTGGGGACTCCAAAGAAGGCTTTGGAGTAACCAAGCACTACTGTGTAACTCATTAACACAATGGACCCAAAGATAAATTTTTATTGTCTTGGGTCACCCCACTCATGTAGATGTCATTACTTCTCAGTGTCACTACCATGGTTAGGTCCAGGCCCCACCTCCCCGACCCCTTTTCCTCTCTCTCTCTCTCTCTCTCTCTCTCTCTCACGGCGCAGAGACCTTAGTGCTCTTTAATCTACTATTACCAGGCATGGTGGTTGTAATAATAAAGTAGCACTATGCTACTCATAGGACATGAAGAACTATTTGTTATTCCACCCTTCATATGTACTTAATATCCTGTCCATTTCAGTTCAGTAGTTGGTACTTATTTCCAACCATTGTAGTGCACCATATAATGTTGTGTAATATATGTCCACTGTACTGCACATTTCTTAGTCATATGTCGTTCAGTTGCATATGTTCCAGTTGAATGCAATATTGCATATGTGAAAGTATGCCTTTGAAAGCATTTACTTTCATATAATGGGATAACACTAGTAAGGCTTAGAATCTTGAGGTAACACCCCCACCCAATAGCATTTTAGTTGAATAAATTCCAATAGTTGGGGAAGCTAGCATTTTCGTAACACATTCTACTGAACAAAAAATAAGACACTACAAAGCTTTATAGTAATGTCTAGAGATTCTAGTACTAGGCTGCTAGTAGTACAAGCAGCATCCCTCTAGAGTTTTAGGAGTTCTACAATAAACCATGCCTCCAGGTTGTCATGTTCATACTGCAATGATCATTAAATATGCATGTTTAACTGAAACAAAATATAAACAAACAGTTTACCTGGCCTCTGCAGTTCTATATGCAGAATTGAAGATGAAGATAATGAACAGTTTATGATAACTACATTCCAAGCAAACATGTCATGACATTTTAGACCGATGTCCTAGCCAAATATCAAAATAGGACATCATCAGTGTGAAACTACAGAAGAATTTTGTCCCTTTTTGTTTTTGGAAGGGACAGTGATGAACAGATTCAGTTTACGATTAAGAAAAATATGTAAAAACAATACAGCATTTGATCTAATAATCCTGCAAAGGCATTGTAATTTCCCATAATAAAAGAGATCCTGGAAAAACTTACCTAGTGATCTTGCAGTTGAAAAAACATTAGTATGGGAGCAATGACTAACATGAAAACATTTCGTCCAATGTGCTACCTACTAACACGTATATGAAAATGTCCAGTTAAAGAATATCGGGGAAAAAAAAAAGAAAGCTATCAAGCTTTCATGAACATGTACTCAGGAATTTAGACATTGGAACAAGCTGCTTCTTAACAAGCAAACAGCTCAGAACAGTAGTTGCATTGGTACTTTGGTAGCTTACATATAGCACGACAGCCTAAACTTCAAACACTTGCACATCCATATCACATTTAAGAAAAAGAAGCATGTCTAGTGCAAATGGGTAGCCCATTAAGGGACAATGGTCTGCAACAAACTGGAAGTATGCAAAAGCTCATGCCACAAACACTAACATTAAGTCATCTATGACATATCTTCATGGTAGAGATGAAGTCCAAGACCAAGACGTGCACAAGCACGACGAAAAGCCATAGCTTCTGCCTTCTGTACGGGATCACCATAGCTTGTATCATCAACAGAAGCAGTTCCAGTGGCCTCTCTATAGATCTGATAGAGAGAACAGAGAGAGCAGGCAACATTGTCAATACACTCTTTATGTTAGTTCTGATCATATATTATATGTTAAACAAAACTACTACGCAGAGAAACTGTCAACTAGTTAACAGTTCACCATTAATGGCTACTGCAGTAAAACAACAATGGGATGAGTTTACATTGACTATGGAATACTGAGGATCATCACATTGTCATGCATGTGTAAAATATTAATTTTGTTTCTCCAGCAACTTGAGTTTGTTTACTGATGTTTCAACTATGTACTATCGTTAAAAAAAATCATGAACAACAAGAATATATCTTATCTCCTGAAATAAAGAAGTAAGCACCAAATGGATCCATTTTCTTCAAATGAGGAGACCTCTGTTTGCATCTTTCATTACCAAAACTCCAAAAGAGCAGAATGCTCTTTGGCATAGACAAACAGGACAGGCATGGCCAGCTTACAGAAGTACCATAATAATTAACAAGTAGCAACAAAACCAATTTGTCCATAAAACAAATATCTGCCAACAGAGAGGAAACCAGTGGATCTAAATAATAACATGCTATGCAATACAAAACTTGCAAAATTAAAACTGCAAAAATTATGATAAAGAAACCCACAAATCATCATCAATTAAATTAAGCGTCAACAGAAGAGGACTGGTAGACACTAGCATACAGAAAAGAAAGTTTCAAAATAACAGCTGGGAACTGACAAATGGTAAACAACAGTTTCAAATAGTCACGGTTAACCAGAACATTGTCGAAAACAAATGAAAGCAGACTTATTATTTGCCAAAACCTAAATGTAAGCCATAAGACCATACAAATTTTCAGGCCTCAGAATAACCTTTTAGTTATTGAGATCAATCATTTATGTAAAAAAGCATTACCTGGAAGAGAAGAGGTACCTCTGCATCAATCCCATGAAGAGTCACTCGATAGACAACGGATACTGATTTCCCATCAGATGAGTAAACAATGCTGCGGACCTCACCCGACCACTCTGTAATGGATTGCAAAATGATAGAAGATAGAACAAGAAAAGTAACTCCCTGACAGTTCAATCCCTCTGAACTTAAACCATCAAAAAAGAGGGAAACAAATATCCTAATGATGATGAGAAGTTTACCTGGAGCATGTATAAAGGGGCGTACCCAGTGCAGAGAGCTCCCGCTCTGTGCGGGGTCTGGGGAAGGGTGTCAGCGGCAAGCCTTACCCTCGCCTGTGCAATGCGAGGAGACCGCGACTCGAACCCGGGACCTTCCGGTCACAGGCGGTAAGACTCTACCGCTTGCACCAGGCCCGCCCTTCTACCTGGAGCATGTATGTTAAGAATTTTGTTCACAATGTGCCTGCAAGAGGTATCAGAAGTGAGATCACAAGGATATATATATTAAAGGAATAAAAACGAAATGGGATCAAATGATCCATATATTGATGAATCCAGCATTCTTTCCTCTAAATAAAATGTCCATGGTGCAAAAAACCAAAGTAGTTATTAAACATAAACCATAAAGAAGCTCTGACTCTCAGATTGCAAAGGAGGGCCTGTTGTCAATAGATAAAAATGCCAAAATTGTGAAATTCTCTTTAATTAAATCTGATTAGAGATTCGGTTTATTTTTTGTTTGTCAAATGCTCAGTCCATGACAGCTCCCATAGAATTGTGCTGCAGGAGCAACCACTTCAATTAGAAAGCCCATAGACTGTGTTTATGTTCTATAGGAGTGTGACAACTTTCGTCCTAACTACCTCTTGCAGGCACATTGTGAACAAAATTCTCAACATACATGCTCCAGGTAAACTTCTCGTCATCATTAGGATATTTGTTTGCCCTCTTTTTTGATGGCATAAGTTCAGAGAGGTTGAACTGTCAGGGAGTTACTTTTCTTGTTCTACTTCAATCATTTTGCAATCCATTACAGAGCGGTCGGGTGAGGTCCGCAGCATTGTTTACTCATCTGATGGCAAATCAGTATCTGTTGTCTATCGAGTGACTCTTTATTGATCAATCAGAGGTTAACAAATCATCAGTTCCATCTTTGGGAACACATAACAACGCTGAAGGCACGAACCAATAAAAAAAAAATTGCTCTTACTATTTTACTAAAATCTCGCTTCAGAGAGCTGCGTAATATATATAACGTGCTTATTTTCGAAGAACCTACCCATCGACTCTCTCTCTCTCTCTCCTTAAAATATTTTGATTATCGAAACCAAGACGCCTACTCATAAACCCACTCATGGACCCAGTATCTTACTCAAATGTAACCTAATATTTACACATAAATCTGCAAGACATAATCTGGTTAAATGAGCACAAATGTCCGAACCGTTCCAATCGTTCGCAGCATTGGAAGATAGAAGCAAAGGTTGGTTCCTTGGGTGATCGCTACCGATCGGGTGAGTGACTTACCATGGGACGTACTTGATGGCGAAGCCATTATCCTCGACGCGGGTCTTCACGAGGGAGTCCGGAACCTCTTCCCGAGCTCCTTGAGCACCTCGGCTAGCGGCTTGCCGATGCCCTCGGTGGGGGCGGCAACCTCGCCGCCGGCGAACTCGGTCTCGTCCTCCGACGGAAGCTCCGGTTCCTGCGTCCGATGAGACGCGCAGGCCTTTGCGGCGAAGGGGCGCGCGAGGCGAGGGGTGGGCGCAAGGCGGAGGAGGCGGGTTAGGGCACCGGGAGCCATGGCGAGGACCGGGCGGAGTCTCGGGGCCTTTGGGGGAAAACGAAGGAGGGGTTTGGTTGGGTTTTGCAATTGGAGAGTCGCCGTCGCGTTCGTCACTTCGTCCGAAGCACGATGACAATGTGCAGCTTGACCGTTCGGGTTCATCCGTCCATTTGAAAATAGTACTCCCTCCGTTGCAAATGAGTCGTCGTTTTGACTTTTTTCCGTTCATGGAACGTATAAAAAAAATTAAACTGTCTTATTATTTGAAACGGAAAAAGTAATATATAAGATGGGAATTTTGAATTTTTTTTGCTAGGCGAGGCAAGAAGTTTGAATTGTTTCTTTAATTATTTTGAATTAAAATCGAAATATTTCAATTGTGAACTACTCATTTCATTTTAAATTATAAAACAGTTTAGTTATTCTATATACATATCAAATACTATGTCTAAACACATAGTAAAAGTGATTGTATCTAAAAAAAAAGGCTTATAATTAGGAAAGAAGGGGATATTGAACTGTTGTAATTTGTTTGCTTCTTCTCTTCTATAATGGAACAAAAGTCAGAAACAAATGAGGAAACCACAAGTTGTATAAATTTTCATTTTACCATGATACCCTTCTAAACACAATATTAAAAATTTAATATCATTCTGTTATATCAATATTGCATATGTTGTTATTGCATGTATTTCTATTTTATATGTCTCATGGAGCCCATATAGCTCAAAAAGAGCATACCTTTAATTGAGAGACCAAACACTTTCGTACAATTTCATTCCGTTGGGCTCCAACGAGAAATAAGAGTTTTACATCTCAAGGATTTAGCGACACCTAAAAAATAAACAAACTCGGACAAAAACTACTTACCTAAGGTGCGATAGATTATGGCCACCAACCAAGATCACAGTACATCAACCAAAGATGCCTTTAATAAAAAACATAGAGGTATATTGTGACGGAACCACTGAAATAACACACCTTTAGAGACGCTCGTCTTTCACCAGACACTAAACACCCTAGTAAGCTACATTGGACGGATTTCATCGAGCACGCCCCAAGAGAGAACTCGAATAATCCACGTTTTTCTCCAGGTTCCAATAATGAGAACGAGTTTACAATACTTAGTTCATTTCATACAACAAGAGTTCTTACAAATATATTATTACAATACTAAGTTCAGAGTGCGAATTTAAACAGCGGAATTACAATAAACATCTAACGGTAGAATACAAGGATATGTCTGTGCCCACCAGAAGAATCCTCCACACACCAGATACTCTTCAAGCTACATCTGCAACAGGGGTGAATAAACCCTGAGTACATAATGTACTCGCAAGACTCACCTGATTAGTGGGAATAATTTTTCGACTCCAAATAATATGATAAGCTTTATGGTTTGCTGGATTTCCTTTTTTGTAAAAAGCAATATTAGTAGTAAATCCTTATGTATGTTTCTTATTAGTAATCATGATTAATTCACTATCTAACCATTCTAGGTAAGCACATATTCTACTTTCAAGCAAGAGTTGATCAAACATATTTATTTCATCATCTTTCATCTTCCAGTTCTTACTATGGTGCTAGATCGTAGACAAAGTCGCACCGGATTACCTGGAGTTTCGTGAATTAATGTGCCCAGCTGGGTACCCTAAAACACATGTCCCGCTTATACCCCAAGCACAAGCAGGACCAACCCACAACTCTCCTGTCGAGGGGTCTAGGTCCTCGTCCAAACTTGGACTCCAAGCCCCCACACCGGAGTCTCGGACTCAGTGTGGTGCTTAGACCTCCACCATTCCCGCCTTCAATCAGTCGGTCCGGAAAGAGCCGGAACCCACGATAAGAGAGCAACGAGCCTTCTCTGCTCCCATAAATAAGTATATGCTCAGAATAATAAGTCTGTGACTTGACTAGAAACCAATGCAACGGTCGATCCTTAACTGACACGGATAGGGAAAACATTGTAACCAAACTATGCCCCATTGACCGCAGAACACAACCTCTTACACCCACCAATACCCGTATCATATCCCTGTCCAGTCTCCATTTCCTTTCATCATTTTATCATGAGAGTGCTAATAATAATCACCTATTGTGAGTAACGACAGGTTACTCACGCTACCGATAGCCTAAGCATAACAGCTACTCGACCTATGCTAGTAGGACTCATAGGTAGGTTATTTATGTATGTAGTTTCCATAAAATGCATGTAACGTAAATGCACATCACTTATGTATACCCAGTGATTATTCAAAATAAGGGTTATGCGCCGGGGCTTGCCTTAGGCAGGCGGGTGGTCAGCTATGTCAGTCGTCGGTGGCTCTGAGGCTGTTGTAACACCCTGGTGTTACGAGCTAGTTTAGCACCGCGATTTAGGCTTAAGTAAAATTTTCGAAACAAGTTTCTCAGAATTTTTGAATATAAATGTATTTGATGTGATAAGCGAGTCCCATGTAACTTAGTTTTGTGGACTCAAATAAACGCCAAGTTAAATTACTCAGTGCGTAAAGATATTTAGGAATACCAACGATGATGCTAACGAACAGTTTGTTCTGTTAGATTAAGCATGAAAAGCAACTTTTATAAATAGAATAAAATCCATTAATAAATAGAACGATATATATATACATATATACTCACGGATTTGTTTTGATAAGTATGAACTGACGAGGAAGAGAGCGCAGCAGCTTCGTTTATTTTTTCCGACGTACAACGTATTCGTTGCATGACAATTATTCACCATCTCGTCTCCCGTCGTGGCGCGGCAGTGCAAAGTCTCCTCATCCATCACTCCCTTATTGTCTTGTTGGTTGCTGCCATTTTTCACGCTACCACACCGTGTCCTCTCTCTGTCGTGCACCGTCGAGTAACCACTGCCTCCGTCGTTCCGTTGAACTATTAACCATGTTGTGCTGCCTCTGCTGCCCTGCCCTGTCCGCCCCTGTCTCCGCTTGCTCTGCCGAGCTGAGCATCCGCCAGGGTTGTGGTCGCGTGTAACACATGCGCGCTCGTGGGTTTGTCCGGCCTAGCTGCGCTGGCTGCCTGCTCGTTGCGTCACCTCGCCTGCATGTGGTTCTGTCCCGCATCGCGCCTATGAAAGTGATGATGAACCGCACGGCTCCTCGCTCTCTCTCTCTCACGCGTCTGCCTTCCGTGTCGCCGTTGCTTGTCGTGTCTGCCTTGGTTGTCTGCCCTATGTTTGCGTACGACGTTGCCTCCCTTGCGTTGCCTTTTCCTTCCTTTTCTTCTCTGCTGCCGAAGGGCGTCCTAGCTCTAGTCCGCCGTAGCCGCCCCTTTCCACCTTCGCGAGCATGCGCAAGCACTCTACACTGGTGCCCTTCCCGCGTCGAGCGCTCCTGCGCTGCTGCCCGCGCTGCCCCACGCCACGTACCCGCAGCAGCCCGTAGTGCCCTGCCGTCGCCGGTTTCCCTCGTGTGCGCGCATGAAGCCCACGGCCGCACTGGATTGAGCCCCTCGCGCGCCTCCCTTCTGCCGTCCCTGTGCCTCCATCCCTTGTGAGCGCGCCGAGCCACGCTGTCCCGCCCCGCTCCCTGTTGCTCCTCCCAGGCGCCTCCCCCGCCTTGGTCCGCACCGTGGCCAGGCAAGCCCGGTCGTGGCCGCGTGCCCTCCCCGCCGCCCTGGTCGTGACCTCTGCACGCTGTGCGCGTGGTCGGCCGCTGCTTGCACCTGCGACCGCTCCCGCCACACGAGTCGCAGCGTCCTCGCTACAGTGCCTCGCCGTGACTGCTGCAGCGCCGCTGCACGCCGTGCGCGCGTGGCCGTCATGTGGTGTCCCACCTCGGTCCGCGTCGCGGCCAGGCCCGAGCCCGACCGTGGTCCACGCACCTCCTCGTGCCGCCCCACGACTACACCGCTGACGGCGAGCCGGCAATCGGCCGGCAGAGTACTTCCTCAGCTCTGCGTGCTCTGTTTTGAGGTAGAAGAGGGACCTTAACGTAAATAGTATGCTTTACCGTGTTCATTTTGCAAAAAGTGCTTGACTCATATGTTTACAAGTAAAGGCTTACTGGATTTAGAGAAAGATCAGGGGCCTAATCCGCTAAAACGTCGCCGCTGTCTGGCCCTGACCGCGTGGGCCGCACTCATCCGCGCGTGGGCTGGTGAAAGGACCTAGGATGTTGCCTAGAGGGGGGTGAATAGGCGTTTCTGAAAAATCAACACCTTTAAAAGCGGAAACGATTAGTAATAGGAGTTTCCAAAATGGAAACTTCAAATCAGAGTAATACCACCCCTCACAAGTTAGCCACAAAGTATATAAAAGATACTAGATAAACCTAGGGAGCCAAACAGCGGCAACCAAAGAGTTGAATCAAAATGCACTAGTCTGTTAATGTCGGAAGTCCCGACGTTTGGGTCAGAACTTCCGACGTGTCGGAAGTCCCAACAGTTTGAGTCAGAACTTCCAACGCAAACTGTCAGCACTTCCGACCCCTACGGGAAATGAACTACAAGTGCTAAAATGAACTTTGTGATGCCGATAACTTACAAACCCACTTCCTAGTGGTAAGGTAAGGTGTTGGGTCACTCTCTTGACGTTGATAAGCCACCAATCCCAGAGATCGAGTCCCAAACCCTAAGAAATAGCTAGAGAGAGGAGACAACCAAATCGGTGTAATTTCGAGCAAATCACAACAACAACAAGCACGTGGGAGACAAGAATTTATCCCTAGGTTCGGCACCCCCACAAAGGAGCTCCTACGTCCTCGTTGTTGAGGTGACCACTTTGGTGAGTCTCTTCCACCTCCTTGCCTCACTCAAGGATACCACAAAGGTCACTTGAGTTTCTTCACTAGAAAACAAGGGTAATACAAACTTCCCAAGGCTCTTCCCACAAGATGGAAGCTCTTGGGCGATGCCTAGCCCGGCTAGGGGAAAATCCCCAAGAGTAACAAATGCAAATCAAACCGCTTGACGAAGAAATCAAGTGCTCAAGCTTGCTCAAAGTGTTATTCTCACTCAATCCACTCTCCAATCACTCAAACCCTTTGGGAATC